CTCTGCTAGTAGAAACACCAAGAGCTAAACTATAAATAGCATGTCTGGATATATCAAAGCATGTCTTAAATTCACTATGCCTTAAAAGCTACTGAACATTCTTAAGCAACAGGGTCTAACATACAGAGAACACCCAGAGCAAAACTGTTCATAATTAATTGCTGAAAAAAGGTATATGGAGAGAGGCTCCACACAATGTGTTCTTAGTTTGGTCCTATTCCATAGCTCAGCCACTCTCTCAGAAACTGGAACAAGAGAGATGCTTCTGGTCTCGAACCAGATCCTATCATACAGTGGGCCCAAGGTCTTCATTCTCACAGTCCCTGCATCTGCCTTCCAAGACTTGGATGGTGTTCAGAGCATTTGCCAGTGAAAACTGAGGCAAAGAAGTCATTAAGAACCTCAGCCTTCTCCAAATACAGGGCAGCCAGTTCTTCTAATAGCTTCCAGATAGGACCCACATTGTCCCTAGTCTGTCTTTTATTTGCAATGTACCTACAGAATCCCTTCCTGTTATCTTTCACATCCCCAGCCAAGTTTAATCCTAACTGGGCCTTAGCTTTCCTAACCTGGTCCCCAGCTTCCCAGACAACACCCCTGTATTCTTCCCAGGCCACCTGTCCTTGCTTCCACCTTTTATAAGCCTCTTTTTTCCTTCGAAGTTTCCTCAGCAGCTCCTTATCTATCCAAGGAGGTCTCCTGGCCCTCCTGCTGCACTTCCTTCTAGCTGGAATGCAACACTCCTGAGCTTGTAGCAGGTGATCCTTGAATATCAATCAAGAGTCTTGGGCCCCCCCCACCCTCTAGGGCTATATCCCATGGAACTTTACTAAGCAGGTTCCTGAAGAGGCCAAAGTCCACTCTTCTGAAGTCCAGGGCAGTGACCTTGCTGCATGCTCTTCTCACTGTCCTGATGATCTCGAACTCGGTAATTACAGCCAGCAATGAACCATGAACATTTACCCTACTTAAACGTTTGTTTCCTTTGCATTGTTAATGTTCAGAATAATACTGAATGTAAGAACAGTGATAGATATGCCAGTGATTTACTGGAGGAAAGAGAGTTCTGTTGCTCACTGAAGCACAGTGCTGCTTATAGGACATAATTCCTAGTTTAAGGGGAAAAAAACATTTCTGTGTCTGAGGAAGAGAAATAAGCATTATGCTAATTATGAATTATTGCAAAACTGCTCTCAGTAAAGAATGATAAAGAGAGGCTTGGAGTAAGACCATGAATTTCTGCTGACATTGTAGAAGACCTGAAAAGAAAGGTCACATATAAAAGATAGTATGCTCCCCTCAAGAAAAACATTCAAGTGCATCTCAAGGAATTTGAATCAAAGGGTTCCTTCAAAAAGGGGGTGCCTGAACGTGAATTACTGTGCAATCACAGTTAGGCTCTCTCTAGCAGAGGCAGTTTGCCAGTGGAGAATTTCACAAAGCCCAAGACCAAAAATGCTACAATGGAACTTACCTCAGAGAAAGATTCATGCTTGTGGAAGAAGACTTAGTAGAGATTGTCTTTCATTTCTTCATCCATGTTTTACAAACGTGTGATTATGCTATTATTTTTACATATTACAAACAAATGCTTTTATTTCTAGTTTACCTTAAGCTGTCTTAACCTATGGCCAAGCTTCCCATCACAGACTCCACAGTGTCCGCAGTTAGGAAAGGTGCTTCCCCTCCCATTGCACTGATCAGATTTCTGTCACTGCACAAATCAGACAGGACCCAAGTGTAACCAGTGACTCCTAACAGCTGAATAGGCTCTCTGACCTGCAACAGGATACTGGAGTGCATGCCTATCCTTTGCAAATGTTGGGGTATAGATCAAAAGCAGATCTCCTGCTGACTGCTTCCTACACAGGAGGTATTCTTGCTCACTCCCCACTCCTGTGGAGCAGACCATGGGCTCTGGAACCTTTCAGTTATTTCAAAGGCAGGTGTGTACGCAGAAACAAGCAAGGTAAGTATTACAATTATTATCAGAATGTGGACATCTAAAACATTTGGAACTTGAACTGTTCAAGAAATCAGACATTTTGCTCAGAATTTTATCAGAAATAATATTTGAGAACTAAATGCAAATACACTGCATTAAATAAGCTGTACTGGTTTTCATATTTTTGTTTCTGCTGTGTTTACCTTCCTGTTCAATACAGAAAGACTTCAGTTTCATTGCAGACATCCAGGCAGTACTTCAAGCCAACTGATAAATGACTTAGTGGAAACAGACTGAAGTGCTAATGTCCTTTCTACTGTTCTTTACTAAAAATATAAAATTGGGAAAACAGTACTAAATCAATAGTTACTTTGGTTTCTGAACCTTAAAAAGAACCTTTGTTCTTTCTCTTCTGTTACTGCATTTGTCCAGGGACTGGGTAGGGAAGATGTCTATTACTATCAGAGGAGAATTAAAACCTCAGTTGCACCTTCTGCTCACTGCAAAGTCCCAAAGATAAATAAAATGTAATCTTCAGAAATAAGGGATTTGTGAGAAGTCTGTCTGGGGAAACGGAAAGAACTGAATGTAACCTCATGGTAAAATTACACTGCTGAGAACTCCATTCAAGAAAAGCATTTGTGAATGCTAGGTAAGTGACCAAGTAGATATGAATTTTATCTCAATAAAAAGTCATTTTACCTGAACATACGTTAAGGTAATTAAATCTTCTCAGTGATAAAGAATCAAAACTTGAAAAGCAAAACTGTAAGTCATGCTTCTGTAAAACCTAAGAGTGCTAAAGGAAGCATCTTTTACTTTAGAGCAGGTAGTGGTTCTTGCAGTATCTCCCATTCTAAGAGTACAGAGTTTAAATTATAATACCTTTAAGATGTAGTTTGGATCAAATAACATTTAGATCACAGATGTTTTCCAATGCCACCTTCTGAGACTACTACATTAATAAAGGTTTTTTTTTTCCTCTTACATTAATAACATTAATAATGTAGTATGACCTTTTCTCTAAACATTGGAACTTTGCATTCTCTCCATATGAGAGAATGGATGGATGAATTAGACACTCTTGTAAGGTGTGTATTTCTTCAGAAAAATATTTAAATTCATAAGCAAGTCTGCTTGTCTGTGTGAAACAACATTTTAGTTGTACTTTTACGAGGTCTTGGGCTATAAATTAGTTGTATTCTAAGTCTGGAGGGAATGTCTCCTAAATTTTAAATACAGTTGTACCTATTTAAATCTGTCATCCAGTTTCCAAGAGTTTAAAGGAAAACCAACAAAACCAAGCCACTATTTGAGTATGCCGTATGCAAAACCAATACTCTCTCTCTTTGCACTGCAGAAACAAAAGGAGAAAATTATGCTAATATCATATTTCATCACCTGCAAACATTGGAGCCACTGCTTAATCAATATTCTCTCATCTTTGCTCTCCAACAAATAAAGGCTTTAACATGTTAGGCAGTGTGTGTTTTTCATAACGTAGACTTTGCTGAAATCAAATGTTTCCTTTATAAGGCCTCCAGCAGTCTTAGACACATCCAAGAAAATCAGAACACATCCAAGAACATTTATATGGCATTGTACTCAACCACCTTCCTCACCTCTTTCCCCTTCTCTTAAGGTCCCATTTCTTTTTGAAATAATACCACCACTGTCCATGTATACAGACATGATCTTTCCATGAATTTATTGTGACCCATGAGACAACCCCTGTAGTACTGAAAATAACTTGGCTTAAGCACACAAATTCCAGTTCTGTAAACAGCAATTTCTCTTACAAAACAAAGCATAATTTTAAGGCAAAACAGGTCAAGAATGAAGATGGAACAGACAGGTACAATTTGCTAAACTAGGAACTACCCACTTCTACCCTCTTGTTTTCAGCTGTACTAAAGAGGTCCAAATTCTTTACTGTGGGAGTGCAGAGAGAGTTTTCCCATAAATAACTTGACATCTGAGATCAGATTATCACAAAAAACAAAGAAATCGAAGGTGAAGAGGGAGATCTGGCTAAACTCATGCATCATGCAGGAGTCAGCCCACCCTCCTTATCTCTCCCCAATTTTGCCTCCTCCTTGAATTACATCACCTGGAACTACAGCTGCAGAGTGGCATTCTGTGAGACCGTATGGGCAGGACTCACTGACCCTCCATGGGATTTACAACACTGCTATACTTCCAACTTCTGCAAACAGAGCTGGAAAAATTATCAGGCTTTAAAAGTGTCCAAAGAAGGAGATGGAACTGTTGGCGCAAGTCCAGAGAAGGGCCATGAGGATAATCAGGGGGCTGCAGAGCACCTCCTGTATGAAGACAGGGTGAGAAAGTTGGGGCTGTTCAGCCTGGAGAAGGCTGCATGGACACCTCATGGCAGCCTACCAGTATCTGAAGAGGGCCTACAAGGATGCTGGAGAGGGACTCTTCATCAGGGACTGTAGTGATAGGATAAGGGGTAATGGATTCAAATTTAAACAGGGGAGATTTAGGTTAGATACAAGGAAGAAGTTCTTTACTGTGAGGGTGGTGAGGCACTGTAACAGGTTGCCCAAAGAAGTGGCAAATGCTCCATCCCTGTCAGTGTTCTAGACCAGGCTGGATGAGGACTTAAGCAACCTGGTCCAGTGGGAGGTTTGCCTGTCCATGGCAGGGGGGTTGGAACCAGAAGATCTTATGGTCCTTTCCAACCCAAACCATTCTATGATTCTATGAGTTAAGACAGCAGGAAAAAAAAACAAAACAAACATAAATGGAAAAGGACATTACTCTCACATGTAACAGAAACAACTTCTACTAGTGTCATATATATACACATATTAACAAAAGTGTGCCACTACAAACAACATAACTCTTTGGTTTGTGTCTTATTATTATGATGCAAAAATTTAACAACTAGATTCTCTTTGGCTGTAATAGAAACCAAATAATATTCTACCAGCATTGTGTTAAAAAAAAAATAAAAAAAAATATGCTATTTCAAAGAGATACAGCTCAAATGCAAAGATCAGAACCTGAGGTCAGAAAAGGCTGTACTTACTCCTTATTCCTGCTTTTAATGCATGGTTGGTAAAGGACTTTGAGAGCATTCCAGGTTCCCACTGGTCCAGAGGTAGGCATGAAAGTATCTCCAAAAGGTGTAAAAACATCATGGGAGGAGGAACTTCCTGAAGACTCCACCAGTAAAGTGTCAGAATTTAAAAGCCATATCTATAAATGGAGAAATTATTTATTATACTGTTCCTTTACTCTGATACTAAATCAGCTGATACAAAAGCCACATTCTTACTAAGTTTCTAACAAAGTGTTAATAGACATAAATTGACATTTTATTATTCAGCACAGTCTGCACAGCCTCTCAAAGAGAAAAGTGGGTTAATACAATAAACTGAAGCCTGATTTATCACAGTCACTCTTAAGATCATTATTTCTGTGAAGCTGCCTCTTTCTGTGACTGTAGTACATTCGCTTCAGTGGTAACAGAAGAAACAGTCCCGAGTCATCTGTTTCAGTACCAAACAGATTATTTCTCTAATTTCATTGGGGTTTTTTATGAATTAGTTGAGCATATGGTGTTCAACAACTGAGGGCTAAACACAGGGAACTGAAAGACAGCCCACTGGAACTGCCAAAAATTAAGGATTTTTAGAAAAAGCATGACAGTAATGACTGGATGGAGCTAAAACATGCAAGGAAAAAGTCAAATTTTTATATTTGACTATGGGACCGGCATTCTTCAGCACTACTTGCTCACTGCAATTCACTGCGTATTTACAGAGGAGTGTTTTGAGAAATCTGAACATTTTGCATCACATTATGGAACTTTTTTAATCTTTATGCAATTGTGCATAATGTGGTGCATTTAATCTCTGTGCAAGTGTTTCAACTAGTGACTCAGGGCTTCCATAATAATCACTGTATAAAAAAAAGTCAGGCTTTTCCTTTATTCACAACCTGAAGCAGTGATCTGACTTACCAGTGGAAATAAATTTATACAAGTCCTGAGCCTGTGTGAAATGTTTATATATGAAATATTTATCATAGAAAACAGGATTTATGCAGTGTTGCTCACTAGAGAATAATCTGCTGCTTCTCATGACCTAATCAGCTTCAAGTAAAACAAGTTACATGATGTTAGGTAGCAGACATATGATATCCCCGGCAGGACACATAGTATATGTTGTAATTGAATGTGACAGTCACAATTTATCAGAGCCCAAGGCTCAGAACTTTACAGTGGAAGGTTCATAAAGGAGGAATGAGATATTGATAAAGATGTCTTGGGAGGGATGGGAGGAGGAGAATCACTCGAGCACATGCACATAAATGATGACAAGCAACTGCACTTGGCTTAGCAAGTGGCTGTTCATCAGTTTTGCTCCAGTAACTCACTGTACGCATTCATAGCCTAAACTGCAAAATACCTCATTAGCTAGGACCACTACAGATGGTACTTTAAGCCAAGTGTTGAAGATGTGTCAGAGAAAATGGGGAAAAAAGAGAAGTGTCCTATACACACAGGGAACTGCTAATATGCTTACCTTTAACTAGAGTTGTTTCCTTTTGAAATTATCAAAACTTCCCTGTAAAGGAGCCTCCTGGGATGCTTTTCAGAAGAGAATATCCTTCAAACTATTTCAGGGAACAAAGTAGTAATGGCTGGCTGCTGCATTCAGAATCCTTCTGCAACTTGCATTACAGAAAGCAACCAAACCATTTATTTTGCAACATGGCCTGTTAGAAAAGTACTTCCTTCTATCACAAGTGGCATCTGATACATGGCATCTGACAGTAACATTCTACCACTCGTTCAGAATATGCCTTTGCCTCAACAGCAATGCAAGAGATCTGTATTAATAATTTAGCAAACAATACAGAGAAAGCAAATGCATCTTTGCTGGTGGAAGGGCATTTGGCCATTAGAAAATCAACTTCTGAACTACATTTGATTCTTCAGGCAATAATTTCCTTTTCCTCATGCATGAATTATTTTTTGATCTTGCTTTTGTCTGAATGAACAATCACTCACTAAGACTGTGTGTTGACTCAAAGCACTTTATAAATGTTATTCCTGGCTAACACAGTTTCAATTTTTGAACTGTGCTTTCAACTGTTACCTACAATGTACAATCTTTCCTTCCTCTCTACCATTTTGTACAGCAAAGCCTGAACAACCAAATTCCTTTGATATTATCTCCATTATGAAAAGAACCTTTATAGAAAGATAAATATATAAAGTTTAGAATTCATTCACAGTGCAGATTAATGACTTTTTTTGAAATGACAATATCAAGAGAAAGTGTTTGGCTGTTTTTTTATTTTTTGTTTGTTTGTTTGTTTGTTTATTAGATTGTTTGGGTTTTTTTAAAATCAACCTATCAATAGGCTTCAAAGATATTCTTAGGAGAAAAGCTCAGTAACGCAAACATCTTTCATGACAGCTCCTTTGTCCTCACATTCAGACTGTTCAGATAAAGATGGTTTCATTATACTTCACAAAGAGTAAAGCTTTCTAGGAGAGCTGGATAGTCTCAACAAGGTACTCATTATCTCACACCCTGATCACTGCAACATCTCCCTCTCAAACCTTGACCAAGGCGCGAACTTGTTCTGCCCATGCCCTCCCAGACATGGTACAAGGATCAGTACCTGATTTACAGATGAGGTCTCTCCGATTTATTATATATTTATTTATGTAACAGGATATCTTCCCACTCCCTCTCCACTCACTTCTGAAATACAAACTGCACCTTACTTTCAAAGAACTTTACAGATTAATCCCACTCCAAAAAAAACATATTTCAGTCAGTACTGGAAGACTGCAGTCAGTATTCAAACACTCCTAACTCTACCACACACATTTTGATTTTCACAGGCGTACCTTCTGTGGGTTTATCTATCCACAAAATTATTTATTTACCTCTTTCAAACCTATCCTTATAGTACAGAAAAAAACATTACATCTATTAAGACGCTGCTATAATGACCAGTAATGTACCATTTTCTCACTATCCATTTGAGGTCCACATCTTATTCTGAGATTGCAAGTCATGCAACTCCAAGATAGGGAACCCTTCAACAGTGGAGCAAAGAGAGGACGCAAGTGATTCATCTTTTAGTGAATGTGAAGAGGACAGATATATATTTAGGATAAATAAGGAAATCTGTATATGCTACCTTTTTTTTTTCTTTTCCTGAAATACTTTTATTTACTGTCATCTTTTAAAGAAAAAAAAAACAACACAACAAATAAGTCCTATACAGCTTTCAGGAAGTTGGTTATGACCAACTTAACAGAAACTTATGGTATATGCAAATGTTATTACTGGTAATGTTAAGTGATACATGCAAAGGAAAGAAGGAAAATGAATATACATAATATCTGTGGTTTAAAAAAAATATTAAAAAGACTCAATCTTAATTATCACATACAAGGACTAAGCTGTGTGCATTCAGATATGTAAGCACAAACACTGTGAATGAGTATCTTTGGCTCGTTGTCAAAACAAACAAGTGGGACAGCTGGTCCATGATGCACCAGTGATTAGACCACTTGTCTAACTTGGCTGTGCACTCATAGCCTCAAGCACCCACATTTTTTACTGTTTAGCTGTTTGCAATCATTAATATTAGCAGTGCTTAACATTACACTTGTCTCCACAAGGCCTCTGAGTCCTAAGACTGAACTGATGACATCAGAACACCTGTGGGTGTGTGTACAGTACCTAGAACCTTATCCCGAACACAAGTAAGGGCTTTCTGATGTTAAACAAACACAAAAAGTATTAATAACTCACTAATAAAAAGGAAGGGATGCCAAACAGAAGCCAGCCCCTATGCTAATTCGGCCTGCTCCTCTAATCAATACACTGGCAAAATAGCAAATTAGCTAAGATTAATCGCTATCTGCTAAATAAGGTGGTATTTCTGATAGAAAATGGCCAGCTTGTCCTATACAAGCCAGTAGATTTAAGCATCAGAATATTATGTAACCTAGTTATACAAGGAAAAAAAACAAAACAATTTTTAATGACTTCTCAATTAGATTATACACAGTGACAATTAGGGGCCTGGTTATGAGACCTTATTTTATCATCACAGAGGAAGCATTTCTCAGTGGCTGTGTAAATGTTTTCTTGGCAGTAAAATTTATTTAAAAACAATAGATAGACAGCTCAGAATCTGGATGTTCAGAAATCATAGAACTTGGACAATGTATATGTAAAATGATTTATTTAATTAGATTGCCTACCTCAAAAAAGTGCACCTGTACTCACAGGGCAGGAATCTATAATGATGTATTTTTTTTGTCTGTTACTCGTACAAACTGCAAAATTACTGCCTATATTTAGTTCATGACCAAAAGAAAACATCCCTTGTTATACCAAGTATATAGTATTGAGATAATTCCTGACCGAAATTCCTTTCCATTTTAAAGTTTGAGGAATTTAGCTGTCACTATTTAAATATCAAGCTTAACCAAGTTTAACAGCATTAGAACATTAAATATAATAGGCAATTTTATTTTTGTTTGCACCTCACTTTGCAGTGCAATGTAATGACTACATTACTAGTCTCTGCTGACTTAAGACAATATTTGTGAAAGATGCAAAACAATTTGATGGACTAGTCATTAAAGAGAAGAAGCACTGGAGCAAGAATATATATATTATGAGGTAAAAAAATAAGCTTTATTTTCTGAATACAAAACACAGCATTATTCCTGTGCTACCTGCAGTACATCTGTAGTACCTTCATTAGTGTATTAATACAGAAAACTTCTATATGTATATCTACCTTGATTAAAGTCCAGGGGAAGATTTCTTACTTGAACATACCTTTTCAGAACTACTTCAAGAATTTGAATTTGTTAATTTTCATTAAGCATACAATCATGAAAAGCATAAATAATACATTTTAGAGGCTGGGATTCACAGGTTAAACTTTTTTTCAGCAGGATAAAGTTTAAAAAAAATAAAAAAATCTTACCAGTATGTAGATTTTTCCATTATCCCCTTTCAAGGTGAATCTAAATGTGCTTTTTGCAGAGGACAATTCCACAAGACACTGAGCAACCATACCCTGTATGAACTGAGACCTGTTTAAAAATGAACCCCTTATTACATGTTTTTATTAACAACTACAAGGGCAAAGTCATTCATATCAATGCAGTGCAACTAGATGAGTATCTCCATACTATTGATTCCACTACATCCTACAATCACTTTTTAATGAGAGATGGGGCTTCTTTGTCTTTCTCGCCCTCAAAACATTTCCTGCAGATGAATTTTTTTAATAGATAGCTCCACATCCTTTATTTTGATCAACATCAAATGTCAGATGCTGAATAAAAGCTTTCCCCTGTTCTCTTTTACATATATGAACATAAAGTTCAGAATGATGCACATATTTCAAACACAATTCACAAAAGAACTAACATACAGTACATGATACAAGACAGCTAGATGACATTCTATTTCATCTTAGTCTTAGCTTCAATCTGAATTACTTGAAAATTCAAAAATCTTACTTCCAAGTAAACAATTCAAACTGTAATTAATTTTACATAATTTAACCTTCCATTTCCATATTTAGTCATGCAAACTATTGAGTTAAAAAAAAGATAAGTATTGGATTTTGGCTTATCACCTAGGCAGTGAGACACTGCAACAACTTATACACAATCTCTTTCCTGCATCACACACAAACATAAGCAAACAAAAGTTTACATGAGTGACTTCATACTACATTACCTTTACAGTGCTTAATTCTGTGACGATTACATAAAATGTGACAGCACTTTTTTATTATATATAATTATTCAAGAAATTAAAATGTTACTGTATTTCAAGCATCCCTTCTAAAACATTAACTTGAGCAAATTACTTGGGTTTTTTTCAATATTTATTACCTGGGTTTGGGGCTGAAATTTTCATCAGATGGTTGAATAATCACCTCAGTGACATAATATTTAATAGTATCTAAAACGACAAAGATATTTTTCAAGTACAGTAGAATAACCAACTTGTTAAGAGTAGACTGCAAGTCACTATAGTAATTAAACTTTTGTTCAGCGCTCAATTGAGAGGTGCAGCAGGTAGTCAAATTCTGCTTTGCTTTGGGGGAGGAGAAGCAAACAATGAGAGAAAACATACATTGCCAGAAGAAAACTGCTCTGAGCTAATTACATAACAAACAATTTATCACTCATATCGATCCTTGTTTAATGATGAGAACAATCATCTTGAAACAAAGCAAGAGTTCAAGCCAAACCTAAAAGATGAATTGAAAGAACTTTCCTAAAGTACCGAGATCAGCACAGCTTGCATAAGTATTTTAGTACCCTCTGCTGCTCAGTAATGCTGTAGTGAATCACAAGAGACAGTTTTAATAACAGCACACACAAGGGAATAATTTTCTTCTTTGCTCAAAGAGCAGAATAGAACTTCTTTCCAAAAACTGCACTAACTCTACACTAATACTGCATACATTCTGGGTTTCATTGTAATTGTTCCCAAAAAGCTCCACTGTGCCTTTAACACTAAATGGAAGTGCTTGAGTACAGAATTTAATCCCCATCAGTAAAGTCAGGTCAAAGATGACCATACTGAAGCATGATCTATGCTACAAACAGTCTAACCAGAGGACTGTCAGAACAGGTTAAACAGTAATAAACTTCATTCCACTAAGCTTTAGCATGTGAACAACAGTAAAGATTCATCAGTTCCATAAATTTTAAGGGTTGAAGGGACTGTGTTACCTGCTCTCCGTCCACACACAGCATTAAAACTGGATGAAAGCAAGCATTTCAGGAAGACACTTGATCTGTTTTAAAGACTCCAAAGGCTTAACAATCCCACCCTTTCTCCAGATAAATACTACACTTTTTTAATTATCCTTTGTTAGGAAATTATATTCTACCTCTGAGTGTAATTTTAGTCTGCTCCACGCTGTCCCTACTTCTCAGAGACAGGAGGAAAAGAAGCCAATTCAGTCACCCTAGCTCCCCAGCTGTTAACCTGGTAAGGCATTGGTGCTACTGCTGCAAGGGCATTGGGAATGAGGAAGATTTTGCCTGCTGAGAGACAAAGGGTAGGATTTCCCAAGAAAAAAACCCACACAAGTATAGGGGGATAGATTTGGGGAATTTCAAAGGTTGACAGGGGCATTTCAAAGGCAAATCTGGCCTCCACAGCTACACCACTCTAATCCAGTTTTATCTGGCACTGATATCTGCTCATGAGGCAGCAGCAAAGCATGACAGCCAAGTCTGCTCTGTATTCTCGTGCCACAAAGAGGGTTCTGCCTAGACTTATACCATATATTTCTGTCTAGTTTTTCTGTCTGTTCTTTGAACTCTATGTAGATTTTCTATAGTACTTAAGAAACATGGATATGTATCTTAACTTCAGCCATGCTCAGAGGACCAAATCCTTGCACATCTACACAGTATTTTCCTTTTCCCATACCCACTGATCACATCAATTACTAGCTGCTACAACTATCTGAAGGCTAGATTAAGGCATCTATTGTACTAATCATGAAGGTCTGTGAAGCTCTTTTCCAAACACTGCTTTCCCAAAGTCACAACCTGCTTTGCTGGCTTTCATACATCTTACCTTCAATTTGGGTTTATTAAAGCCTGTACTGTTCACATCTCTGTGCAGGACAATTGGAACCTTCAGTAACAGACACCCTTCTGTTTTGCATCTCCTCATGACTTATTTCTTAAACAGGCTTGCATTTTCTGATAAGTATTTATATTCTCCAGATCTTTGAACTGAGCCAGGCTCATGCTGACTGATGCAGTGGAGTAGAGAACAAAAGAATGAACCCTGCTAGCAACAATCTTAACATTGCTTCTCTCCTGTTAATAACTGCCTTTTAAAAACCACCACAGACTCATCTTTACACTACTTCAGGTAAACCCTGCTGATTCAATATAATGACAGCTTTCAAACCAATAATCTCATCATCTCATCACCAAATTATGATGTGAGAACCTATTTCTTTGACAAAGGCTTCCTTCCCGTAAGACCAGGCTGGTTGTCAGCAATCATATCCTTAGCTTCTAGTTCTGTGTTATGAAATTGTGAATTAACCTTTCCATTATTCTGTAGGACTGACAGGTGTCCTTTTTCACTGGAATTCTTAGTAAACTGGAATCATGCATTGAGTCTTCTAAAACACTGGAATTAGCCCAATGCACCACAGAAAAAAGGATGAGGAAAATCCCCACTGTAACTCACTTTCAAGGTGTAATGGTGGAAGCAGCAACCTCATCTGTTCCAGAAGGGAACGAGACAAATACATATGAATCTGCGCTACACCTTACTGATCAAACTATTTTCCAGAGCTTTTAACCTCCAGTGCTCAATGGCTGATACAGTGACATCTAGTTTGGTTTTGTACATCCCATACCTGATGATACTGTTTCTCCCAGCGTTGTCTTGCAGCGCTCACAAACTACTCTGGTATTTTTCTTTGATTTCTGTAGGACAAAGAAATGTCATTTAAATGTCACTCAGTTATTCTGAAGAAAGAATGCATAATTTTACCATACTCTCCAGAGCAGATAGTGAACTTTGTACTTCTTTCTGTTCTCTTTATATTTACGTGCACACAGATTTGCACTGACTGCTTTAGCTTTCTACACTTTGACTTGCTTGCAAGTTTCACACTAGTTTTAAAATTGGGCAGTATATGCTGACCACACAGCACAACCTGTAATAGCTAAAAGGAGAATCTCTTAATAATGAGTGACTGGATGATAAAATGACAATGTAAATTTGATCATACAGGCAAAATAATGCACATGAGAAGAAGTATTCCAAAATATATACATAAAATAAAATGCTGCAATGTGACTGGCATCTATCAGTAAAATGTTCTAGCCACTGTGAACATTTTTATAGGAATACCAGTTCACTGTTCAGCCAAGAGCAGTAAATGTCTACAGAGCATTTTGAATTAGTAAGAAACAGCTGAAGAACACATCATAGCATGATATTCCAGAAAGGTGTAATGCATTCTGTTCTTGAGCAAGCCTGCTCCCTCAATTCAAGCAAAACCAGAAAAGGTATTGACAAAGAATAATAATCAGAGGTGGAAAACAGTTTCCATTTGTGGCAAGAGAACACACATAATGGGAGAAAGCATGAAAGACAGAAAGCTGAGGGTATCAGTGACATACATAAAATCACAAAAATTTAGGAAAAGCTGAAGAGGAAAGAAACATTTACTCTCATAGGTCATATTATGAAATTATAACCTGGCTTGTATTAAAGAAACTTATTTTACACACAATACATAATACAGTTTGGTACTCACTACAGGAAAGTATTTTTCACATTAAAAGTACACACAAGTTCCAAAAAGTCTTCAGAAATTCAGGGGAAGCAATGCTCATCAAGGACTTATTAGAAACAAAGACTGTGGATAACACCTGGTTCAAGAAGTCTCTACATTGGCCAAAACATCATTCAGTACTTGCCTTATGCTTATGCATCCAATGCTGCCTATTGAAAAAGACCTCATTTCTAAATGAACCTGTGATCTGCCCTAGTAGATCCACTGTTAATATTTAAATTCAGTATTAGTATAAAGATACAAGTAAGCACAAGTCCTTCTTTAATCCAAAGTCTAATCTACAGAACTGGTTCTATGCTGGTTTATTAACCTGGATGGAGCACAGTAACTACAGCTCTGGTCTGGAAGCAGTCTGTAAATATAATCACAATGATGCTCCTGGGTTAATAAACCCCTCTGGAGCCAGAAATCCTGAGAATGCAATGAGAAGACATCCAAATTGGATTTTTAAATGTGGTCTTCATATAATCAACGTTATTGTTCATGCAGTATACAGTGCAAAAGATACCTATGTGTAGTCAAACAATTACTGTTTTATTGGCTTGGTTTATAAATCCAAATCATTATCAACTTGAGAAATTATATTGCAGCACGTGCCTACAAGAATAGTATCCAAATTTAGCATAAATTAAACCAGTTGAGAGGAAAAAACTCCAAATTTATCTTTTTCAGTAACCTTTGTAAAATATGGTGACAGTTTCCACGAACTGCACAAAATACACATGCGCTCTTCAGGAAGCATGGTTTCTCTTCACCACTATCATGCTCCTTAGTGTTCAAATTTTAAAATGTATGATGCTGATGTGTCAGACTGATGTCCAGAACAAACAGTGGTGCTCTGTGGCTTTATTACACCACAAAATTCTTAAAGGAAAACAAAGAAACAAAAACAAAAAAATCCCCATCCCCATTAGCAATCAACATGAAGTAAATCCAATGGCCCTAGCTATGCCAGCTATACTTTTCATCTTACAAAGGTAAGTTTTAAGGTACATCCATTAGACAGGTTTCAGAACATGGATTGTGGACTTTCAGACCATGCAGATTTCCAAGCACAACCATCCTAATAAAATTTAAAAAAACCCAAAAAACAGTGCATTGTTAATTGATTTAGTCTAATTCAGGTGCCCTGAAGTACATGTGGTCTGCGATTAGGAAGGTGATGAAAGAGATTATAGACAAGTGAAACAGACATCCTGGGCCCATTTTTTCAATTACTGTATGGAAAGGTTTAAGTACTTCCTGCTGCAAGGATAGGGAAGTAGTAAACAAGGGAGACAGAGTAGATACACACACCAGTCTGGACCATTAAGTAGGTTGGTTGTGCTTAGTCTAACAGTTTAACACTGGCACTAAAATATAGCCAAATGCCAGATCATATATTGAGGAACAACATGGACAACAAAGCCTGTGATGATAACATAAAGGAACACTGGAAGGAATAAAGGAATAGTGGAAGACAGCAAAAGTCAGAAGAATTTAGATGACAGCAGCTAACCAAGCCAGAGTTACTAATAAGATGCTACAAAAGAAAAGGCAAATATGATCTCTGACTGCATAAACAACTGAATAGTCGAATGGATAAAATGAAAAATACAACATCTTCAGAATTAGTGAAATGATTACTGCAAAAAATGGATCTATGAAGTATGATAAAATTTTGAAAACTGTTTGGAAAGCTGTTACAAAAATAATTTATAGAAAATAAATACACTTAGCGATAAAAATAGATACAGAGTTGTAATTCTTAGTGTGCCTAATTTAATAAGAAGGCATGAAAGAGTCAATACGATTAACCACTGAAACATCTTACGAAATAATGTGATAAAACTTCTATCATTTGAAGTATTAAATCAATAGTGGACATCTTTCTCAAAGATATAGCTCAGACAGAACTGATGGATTTGATGCTGGAAATACCTAACAGAGTTCTCTGGTCTGTACTATGCAAATAATAAAATGAACAGAAAGGACCACTCCACGAAAAACAGAATGAATCTCACATGGAATGTAAACTTACGATCACAAAGTCCTGCTCGTTCCTCACAAGCCAGGAATCAAACTAAAAGCCCCAAGGAGAGCCTAATAGCCTCTGTTAAAGCTTCAGAGAGCTGCCTATGCTGGAAGCACAGACCCCTTGTTATGGATATCAGAAAAGACATTTGGTTCATATATCCTTTCCCAATTTCTACCTTGCTACTCCTCTCAAACACACACAGTAAAATAACTTGTTTAACTTGCTGAGCATGGATAAATAGACGGGGTTTTGTGAAAACAGGTATTTGAGGCTGGTAAAAGTATTTCACAGTACAAGTATACAGATACAGTACTTCCTTGAAAGCTACAACTTGTATGTGGGTTTTTTTCTGACTAGAGTCACAGGTGCTAGCTGAGAATTGTGCAGTATGGTACCTAAACCCACCACTAACTCATTGTATCATGCTTCAATGGAAAAAGCAATAGTTTTAGCCTGACTAATTAAATCAATATATCTATTTGACAACTTGCAGCTGCTGGCAATCTGCAGATAGAGGTAGATCACTAGCCTAGTATTTTCTGTTTCTATTCCTAAGGATCCCTGATACGGTGTCAGGGAAAATATTTTCCCCAAGAGATACTATTAGGATGCTGCGAGACCATGTGACATTTAAAAACTATGCTACACTGGAAGACTAATAGATGTGAAAAATATGTTTGCAATGGACGGATGCTGTCTTGGTCCCACTGGAGGCTGGAAAAGATTGTTTAAGCATCTCTGGTACATTCTTGTTACTATTTTGGTCATAAGCAAACACTTTCCAAAGAACTGCAATGCAATTAAAAAAACAACTTTCATACTGGGGCAGACTGCAACAGCATTCTCTGAAATGAGAACATTTATGCCAATAGCAATCTATCTTGCCTCTAACTTTCTATTACCCGTATTATGGGAGAAATTTCTGTTTCAGTGTGAGGGGTTTTTTCCTTATTAGTCCAGTTTCTGCTGAATCTTACAGTTCTTCTCATTTACATGGCAAACTACTGATGCTGGAAATAAGCAAACACAAAAATGAAAATTCATTGCAAGCGTGAAATATGTAGAAAGAGGGATTTAACACAAACAAGGAAAAAATTCTCAACTTCACTGCAAGTTTAGGAAGCAAATACAAAAATTCATCACACTACTATTGTGTGCTTCTGAAAGAAAATAGCCTCCTCCCTTATTTAAAAGTTCTGCTGTTTTCCTGGTTTGACCCATGTATCAGTAACATCTTTGTCCCATGTCTTTTTATCACATTTCTGCCCCCAGACCAACCCCATTCTGGCAAACATTCTGTTTGGTTGATTGAAAAAGAGTGTTGGGCAGACTGCTCCCCTGTCTCTGGGCTGCAATATGAATTCCATGAACCCTGCTTCTTCCTGCCTTTGTTCCCATTGTTCTAAGACCTTTTTTGAGACTACTGAAACGTGAGATGAATTTTGGAGACCTCTGGCAGAAAGCATTGTCCTGGAAATTCAGAATCTTCTGCTCAGGCCCTTTCTTAAGGATACTTAGAAAAAATAACTTCAATTGCCACAGAGTTAATCCAAATTAATCTGCTTCTCCCATGCTGATATCCTTTCAGGGTATCAGTTCTTATTTTCCTCCCTACATATTCTGCTTTTCAAAGAACACTGGAACAAGAAAACAAAGACCAAAGCTGCAACACCTGCAGATAGGGACCGTAGGACAGAACTGTTCCCCAAGCAGATGGCCTGATGGGATGCATTGCACCAGCAACCACTGACCTGTGAGAATCCCAGTGATTTAATGGGGAATAATACAAATCCCTAATGATGATAAGCAGCAGGCAGGAATCAGAGTCTCTGGTGTTACTTCTCAACAGATTAAGTTTCAGGTTGGGAATCTGTACATAGCTGGTCATCAGCTGCAACAGGCATGAATTGCCAAGGCAGGAACCATTCCCACAATTGCAGAAGGATTTCAGTAATTAGGTATAATACATGGTATTGGAAGAAAAGATGGTATCTACACGCGCAAACTTTGTCAGCACAAATACAGACAAGCAGTAGATTAAAAGAAAGGACTTTACCGAAATGTAGGCTTTGGTGAACTACGTGGATATTCTAGAAGATTATTGCTTGACCTTTTATACAAGTGGTAGATATCCAAGATGAGTAAAGCACTGAATTTTCTTTCTCCGTGGGCTTTGTCCCACAATTGAAACATCAGTATCCCTACAAATTCTTTTTTTCCTGGGCAACAATAAATTTTGGTGTTTCTAAGCCAAATGACAGTCTACTTCCTAGAGAGTCAACACTAGGATCTATCCCCCACAGAACATCTCAGAAACATTAAGATGAAGAGTTATAATCTGTGGTGGCAAGTCACTTTCACTAGACAGAGCTAGTCAAACTCCATTTCCTTGCTATATTCTAAGAGTATAAAATAGCCACATCTGAACCCAAAACTCATTTTGATTTTGATTTCTACAGCTAAAAAAAAAAAAAAAGAAAAAAATTAATAAAAATCACACCTTCCTTTGATCCCATTTATGGTTATGCATCCAGTCACAATTGAAGAAGTATTACTCCAGTTTCCTTGTCATTCTTCACTATCCTTTAACAAATGCCTAACCTATTGCAGTTACTATCTCACTAAATGTTGGTGTCCTTCACTTAGGATATATTTTTGGGGAAATATTCAGGTTTAGAACTACATCATTAAATAGTTTCTAATTCAGTTTATAGGAAAATGTTCTTCTTGCATATCTAGGTCAATATCAAGACATTAGTAAATGTAAATCATAGCTTACAATATTTTCTGGTTTCTGTACAAGAGAACGTCAACAACTTCCTATGACCTTCAAAACAGCTCTATAATACATACAATTAAATAAACAAATGACATAAACTGTTTTACAATGAAAAAAAGTCAAAATACATCCATTTAAGAATTATTCAAACAAAATACTTTACTGAGTTGGAGTGACTCTGCGAAATATGGTATCCAGTCTCTGAGCAGCACATGGGAGATTCAGGCACATGTGATTCACTTCCTGAATTCATCAGAAAAAAAGTGTCACCAAGAAAACAGTCACCATGCTGAGGGTGCAAAGTGCTTCTGGCAAAGGGGTTGGGGTGACAACACCACTCTTCAACTAAAGCACTCCAGTTTTCACTTGGTAGAGGAAGGACTCTGAGGAATTTCCTAAAAGGGAAGAAGCAAAAATATATCTCAATATATTACATTATTTTCTAAGACACTAAAAGAGAGCTTAGACTCCTCACAGAAAAGTGGGAAGTACAACATTTTCTCAAAAGGAAGTGCTTGAACCTCCTTTCAGTCAAAAGCACTTTCTTTGTATGCTTTTTGAGAAAGCAATGGCTGTTATTTTTCCTCCTATGTTTGTGATGAAGCATTTCCCAAGGGGGAATCTCCAATGATCGTAAGGCAGAAATTGGCATAAACTCTCTTGAAATGCGTCACCTCGCAAAAATAAAACAGTTCTAGCCAGTCATGAAAAATACAACAATGGATATTTTGCAATTACAGTTATTATTACTTCTTGTAAAGTTCCCTTGCACCAAATGTTGATATAAAAACAGATTGCTGCAACAGCAAGGGAGAGCATGTCCTCTGAAGCCCCTCAAAGTCAAATACCAGATTTGGAAAAAGCTAAATCCTGACAAAGATACCACAGAATACCTTCATCTAAAATAAAAAAAAAAAAAAAAAAGAAGAAGAGAAAGATAATGCAATCTTAATTTAGATTTAGATTCAAGATTCAACCTTCAGAAGTCACATGCAAAATAAATTCAAATCCCTTTCTTCTGAGACTGTATAGACCAAAAAAGCTGTTTCAGGCAATACCAGACTTTGCTTTCATTATCAGTTGTACTGGGTTTGCGTGGCAAAGTTTTGTTAGCTGAGGGGGGCTACAGGGGTGGCTTCTGTGAGAAGCTGCTGGAAGCTTCCCCAATATCTGATGGAGCCAATGCCAAATGGCTCCAAGATAGATCCACTGCTGGCCAAAGCTGAGCCTATCGGTGATGGTGGTAGTGCCTCTGTGGTAACATATTTAAGATGGGGAAAAAAACTGCTGTGCAACAGCAGCCAGGAAACAGGAGTGAGAATATATGAGAAAAACAGCTCTGCAGACACCAGTATCAGTGAAGGAGAGTAGAGGTACTCCAGGCATCAGAGCAGAGATTTCCCTGCAGCCCATGGTGAGGCAGGTTGTTCCCTGCAGCCCATGGAGGTCCATGGTGGAACAGATCTCCACCTGAAGCCCATGAAGGACTCCACACCAGAGCAGGGGTATGCGCCCAAAAGAGGCTGTGACCCCATAGGAAGCATGTGCTGGAGAAGGCTCCTGGCAGGACCCCAGGGAGAGAGGAGCCCAAACCAAAACAGGTTTGCCAACAGGACTTGTGACCCTGGGGCGGAACCTACACTGGAGCAGTCAGCTGCTGAAGGAATGCACCCCACGGAAGGGACCCACGTTGGAGCAGTGTGTGAAGAACTGCGGCCTGGGGCAGGACTCATGCTGGAGAAGTTTATGCAGGACTGTCTCCCATGGGAGGGATTCCATGCTGGAGCAGGGGAGGAGTGTGAGGAGTCCTCCCTGAGGAAGAATGAGTGGCAGGGACATGTGATTAACTGACTGGAATCTCCATTCCCTATCTCCCTACACCACTGAGGGGAAGAGGTGGAGAATCCAGGAATTAAGGCCAGAAGAAGGGAAGGTTGGGGTAAGGTGTTTTTAAGATTTAGAGTTCATTTCTTATTTCCTGCTTTGATTTGATTGATAATTGTCCTGGTTTCAGCTGAGATAGAGTTATTTTTGTTCCCAGTACCTGCTGCAGTGCTGCATTTTGGTTTTAGTCTTGAGAACAGTGCCGACAGCACACCAATGTTTTAGTTGTTGCTAAGTAGCATTTACCCTGATCAAGTTCTTTTCAGTCTCTCATGCTCTGCCAGTGAGAAGGGGCACTCTAATGGGGGTAATGTAAGGGTAATGGAGAAGACTCCAACAGCATAACCTCAGCCTCTGAAGAGCTATCAGAGTCATGGAAAGAAATAGACTAAGCCAGGGGATTTTAAGAAAGGTATTGAGTCCATTTTCTTGCATCAAGGAAGAAGCACTTACAGTTAAGCCATTACTAACATATTTCTCTAATCCAGTCTTTAAAATGATGGCTTCCTCTGCAGTCTCTAACAGTAAAAACAAAAAGCTTTAGAGTACATTTGAGGGTTGGTTTGTTGTTTTTTTTCTTGTAAGTTAAATTCCTCTAACTTCACCTGAAGACTACTGCCACCTTCTTTGCAACAACTTTTTACACATTGGAAGTCTTGCATCTTCTCCACAGCCTTATCTAAAATAAATCCCATTTATTTCAATTTCTTCCCAAAGGTAGAATTTTCTAGACATTAGGTTTTTTCTTATTATAGACCCTTCCCTATTAATTCACACTTCAGTTAGTTCCCCCTCAAACAGTTCTGTAACTTCCCTTCAATCACAGGGCCTGTGTTACCACTGTCATATTCACTCTCCCTGGAGAAACCAAACACAAATTCTGTAGCTAAAAGTACTGACTACACTCCTGTCTTCCTTTTGAAAGAGCTGGAACAGAAGGTGCTGGATACACTGGCAGCTCCACTCTTTTGTAATAATTTTTAGTGATACCATTTGAGGAGCTCAAAGGTTTCCTACAAGGAGAAATACCAAGCAAAGAGCCATGAAAATGCCTTCTTTCTTTTTTCTTTATCAAAAATTCTGACTGCATCACATTACAGGATGCAGAACGAAAAGATGTAAACTCCATGCATATGAATTTGGTATGCTGAAATTCAGGAAAACACCCACTCAGAGACAAAAATACAAAAGTGCAAAATGTTTTGAAAGCAAATGTTACTGACTAGAAATTAGAAGTTTCATTACTCTGCAAATGTATCAAAATAAGACTTATTACTAGACTTTCTGATGAGACATTTCAGAAGAGAAAGTCAGGAAATCCTTACTCAGTTATATTCAAGCCAGCCATAAATCCATATGTAGGACAAGAAAGTAACAGGAGTTTACCACATTTTTATTATCATTATGTGTATTAGGAGTGACATAGATCATAAAGGCTGCAGGTACATCTCTAACAGTTCTTACATATCCAGCTGAAGCTGTCAAAATTGTTTATCAGAAGAGCCAGAAAATGCAGTAGCTTTTTATTAAAATTCTCATTCACTCTGCAGACTTTGTAAGGAAGAGAAGTAAGGCTGAGTTACACAGCTAAGAAACAGCTCTTGCGTTTCCCAAATTCAGCATCCCGGAACTATGTGGAGGTTGGCTTTGCTTAACAGATAGAAGGGAGCTGTGGGCAACATCCCTATTCTGAGCAGCCATTCTATAATCACAGCATGATGACTGAAGGGAATTTATAAGAGACTGAGCAGAACTGAAGAGGATCCCTGAAAGTGCAGAGAAAGAAAGAAGCCCAGGCTCAAGATTTCCGGGTTTTATTCTCTTCAACATACCGAAAATGTCAACTGCTAATAGACTATATGTATTTTTTAAATCAATGAAAACTATGAGCATCTGCAATATTTCCAAGCCAAAATGTTACAGCTTTTTGTTTGTACCACAAAACAAGACACAATTATGATGACTGCAAAGAGATTCTGTATGAACACAAAGCATAGCTCTCAAAGCAGAAATTTTACACATAGAGAAGTCCAGCTACAAAAGTCCAGCTTGTCACTCAAAAACAAGCAGGAGAAGAATCCAGATTTCCCAGGTTCCAGGGCAAAGCACGAACTCCCTTTGTAAGGTGTTTCTACTTTCCAGACAGAATGAAATCAAGAAATAAATGAGTAAATGGTGAAAAACTGTTACTGGTAATTTTGCTTTTAGTCATCCATAGTGCTTCAAAAATGTTCTCATCTATCAATTTCAAACTAAATACCTTTCAGGTGTCTCTCTAAGGACACAAAATAACATGAATACCAAGTACTATGGCATTTATCACCATAAATACAAGACACTGTACTCACCGGTCTTTTACTATGACGTCACCACATGACTGACAGTAAAAGACATAATTCTTCTGGGGTTTAAGGCTTTCCCTCCAAGTAGGAACCAAATCTGTAGAGAGAAGATATACTAGTCTTAAAAACTGTGTAAAACTTTCAGACACCTGTACAGAAAAATCCTGCCAAGTACCTCAAACTAATAAAATCTGAGAATCTAACAAAACAAATGCTGACATTTTAAACACTGCCTTTATTTATTTTGCTGTAGAAGCAAGTACTGAGATTTTGGAAAAATGTGCCATCTCCACCTCATGCCCCATACTGCTAAGAATACATGAATAATTATTTTAAAGGTGCAAATCTTCTCCACAGGGGGAGATGAGGTATTGGTATCGTTATACTATACATTAAAATTCAATGCCACCGTTTTTAATGATATTTCTGCTAATCAGTGTCTCTGCAGTATGAGGACACATCACAATATGTAACCCAAAATAGTCAGAGCTGGGGGGGGGGGGGGGGAGGGAGGGGTGCATTAACTTAAAATATTCAGGCAGGTAAGATACCAACCACTGTGGTACCACCTGAGGAACAGATAGTGAGCAATACCCTCTGCAGGCCAGCGAAGCAAAAACAGCCTCACAAAAGCCAGCTTAGACAACTTTTCCAAACTAAAAAAGAGCTATAAAAGCCTCTGCAAATCATCAAATAACATGAGGTGGAGAAAAGCATAACTGTAAGCGTAGATCTATACATGATTCTGTTTTGAGTTGCCCAGTTTCTCAAGCTTAAGAATCAAGGTGTATTCTCAACGCTGACATTCAGTATTTAAGATTCAGGTTCAAAGCACATATGAAAAGTACTTTAAAAGGCTGAAGAATTTCATGGAAGAGACAACTGGTTTTCCATACTAATACAAAATATTAAAGGTAACTAAGGTTATCCAATGCATGTATCAATTACCATCTGGTTTGCATACATGTTTTTCATTGGAATGGCTTTCAAAGGTAAATTTAAAAAACTGATCTTTGGTCTTTTGAAGCATGCCTCATTAATTAAGACACATTAAATATTTTTTATATAATTAAACTGTCAAAGTACGGGCATAATTACTGATTAACGTAAAGTTATAACCTTGGCATACCATAAAATCAAAAGAGTATTCCACCGTGTTTCTGGTGCTGAAGCCATCATTGTACACCACGTACTTTATTGGGGTAGTATCTACTTCAAAACCACAGAATGACAATTTTGTGTTATTTAATATATCTTTCTGTATCATGACCTATTAAATAAATCAAAACTTATTGAACTTCGATACTAGAATTAAAACACCATCTACTATGCAATCACATGCCAGATCTGAATTAGCATCGTGGAAATAAAGAAAGTAACTTTGCCTGTGTTACCTGCAACATTAAACTCTGCAAACCGAGGCTGTGAAAACAAGCTCCAACAAAAATCACAAACCTTTATGATGAAGTGGTCTGTGACAACCTTAGCACGATAGACTGGATGAATCATGTTACTGCATTTTCGGCTACCAAACACGAAATAGGAGGGAAAGGAAATAATTTTGAAGTAATCTGGGAAAGCACGGGGGAGGAACTGAGAGCAGTTCTCAAACACCTACACAGAACACTTACTCAGCAACTGCTTCCCTTTCATTATGCCACTTTCTGCGATTTTCATTTTTTAAAACTGACAGTCTTACTAAATTTTACCAGTTCCTATTTAAATCTTCAATTCAGAGCTAAAGAGCGCTTTAGAAAAAGCAACAGCATGTTTCTTTAAAGGGACATGTAGTGACAGGACAAGAGGGAATGGCTTAAACTGAAAGAGGGTAGACTCAGATCAGACATGTTTTTTATTGTTAGGATGGTGAGGCACTGGCACAGGTTGCCCAGAGAAGCAGTGGCTGCCCCATCCCTGGCAGTGTTCAAGGCCAGATTGGACGGGGCTTTGAACAACCCGCTCTAGAGGAAGGTGTCCCTGTCCGTGGCAGGGGGTTGGAACTAGACGATCTTTAAGTCCCCTTCCAATGCCAACCACCCCGTGACTCTATGATTTAAAGCTGTAAGGTTTCAGACAACCCTAAGCAAGGCAGCATCTTCTTTAAACCACGAACTACTACGCTGTCCCCTCCCGGTCCGCGAGCCTTCCTTACCAGCGCCCGGAGGCGGGCAGTGCAAGCGCATGCGCAGGTGGAGGCCGTCGCCTGGGAGACGGTGGAGGCCGCGGCAGGAGGACGGGGCTAGCCTGACCTCTGGCGGCAACGTCGCCGCCTCGCAGCTCCCGCCGCTCTTCACTTCAACACGGTCAGCGGCCACCGAGATATCCACCGGCGAGCTCGGGCGGTCCGCCCCGCTGGGGACGCAAAGCAGGGGTTTACCTCTGAAAGGAGGTGTCAGGGCGAGCCGCTACTTGAATCAGGCAGGACAAAGGTGGAGGGGTAGAGGGACGCCTCGCCCGCAGCCCGGGTACACTGAGCTCGGGGTCAGCCTGCAGATCCTCCGCGGCCCGGGACCCACGCGGTAAACTGGGGTCTCCTCTCGGGGCGAACAGCAATCGAGAGAAATGAAGCACCGCTCTCAAGAAGCATTTATTTGCAGAAGAACTCTAGCTCTTCCGAGCTGCGCGAGAGGGGCAGCAGGAGGCTCCGGTGCACAAGCCGGTTATCCCACCACCACCACCTCCCGCTCAAGGCTAGGGACACTAAAAGCCAGACCCGCCGTCCCACCCTCTACCCTCCACTCCCCCGCCACCGGCCGCTCCGCACAGCCCGAGCAGCGGAAGGCGGGCAGCGCCCTGCACTACCGGATAACCAGCAACCCGCTCTGCGTCCCGCGCCTGATCTCCAGCAGCAGCCCCGCCGCCATGCCGGCATGGGAGCGGTTCCCCCAGGAAGCGACGCTCCAGCCCGGTGCACACGGGGAGCGCTCTCCCGCCACAGCGCCTCCTGCAGCTCGGCGGCCCCCTAGGGTGGCTGCCGCACACCACCCGCTCGCTTCCAGTCGGCTGTAGTGTCGGGCCGCCGTGCCCAGGACTGGGGCCCGCCAGGTCCCGGAGTCCCCAGGGCGAGGCCCGCACAGTCTGCCCGGGCGGGCAGCCGCTCCAGGGCTCGACTGGCCTCACGGGGTTTTCTTATGCCCAGCCTGAACCTCTTGTGTGTCGACGTCTTCCTGTCCCGCCACTCCACCGCTGTGAGAATGGTTCGGCTTCCCTGGCACCTCCCCGTAGGCACTGGGAGCTGTGGTGAGTCCCACCACCCCTAAACTGGGATGGAGTTTCCTCACAACGCTCCGTATGATGTTGTGCTTAGGACTTGTGACTGAACAGCTTTGGCACCACACTAGTGTTTCAGCTGTTCCTGAGCAGCCTCTGTACACTGCCAAGGCCGCCACAGTGTCTCAGTCTGCTTGGCCCAACAAGTAGGCTGGAGACGGGGAAGAAGCTGGGGTGCGGGAGACATAGGACAACTGACTCAAGTTTACCAGAGAGATATTCCATAGCACATGGCATTGTGCTCAGCAATAAGAACTGGGGAGGCAGTGTTTCCAAAGTGGCCATTGCTTGGAGATTTGGCTGGGCATCAGCAGTCTGCTTGTGGGATTCAGTGAGTGATTGTATGTTTTTGTGGGGGTTTATTTTCATCTTCACTTACCATTATTACCTTGACCCACAACTTTTCTTGCTGTTCTGGATCTCCTGCAGAGCAGTGAGCTAGCAGCTGGCCCAGGTCAGACTACCATGTCTGAGCAGAGGCCTCTGCCAGCCCAGGGGCAGGCTCCCTACTGAGTGCTGGGAACTGCGTCCTGTGGCATGTCACTGCACCACCACCCACCCTTGCCCTTGCAAACAACCCCATCCTTTCTTGTGATTCGGAGAAAACTCCAGGAACAAACTTTCCAACAAAGTTTTCAAGCTGACAAGCAGGTATTCTTTATTGCAGCGCCGGGAGACATGGGGGATAACTCCTAACGTGTGTTCCCATATTGCTATACAAGCCATCCTTATATAGTCCCTGGGCATACATATATATTCATGAGGCTACGTATGGATTACATCATTTCCCAGAGAGTTCCCCGCATGCGTACAGAACTGTGGTGGTGGTCTCTGAGGGTCGTTTACTTCTTCCAACAATCTTCATCACTTCTGGCAGCCTTTGAAGCACGCGCAGTAGATGCTCATACCAGTTTAATTGGTTCGTTAGCACCAGAGACATAATAATCCTCCCATCCTCCTACTTATCAGTTAGTTTAACTGTAGCCTATCCTGGATGCCTGCAGTTCCCAGATACCCCTTATTCCTGTGTCCTGTTTTTCTAGGCTGTTTTTTTCTTAGAGCTATGTCAACTATAACGATTTATCTTGTGAGAATTCTCAGTATGTTCTCTAGCTGCACTCTCTCTATATATTTTTCTCCATGTATCCTCACCTCAGTAATTTTCCATTGCTACTGTTACAAAGCCATCAAACTTAACATTACTTAAAGCTACTTCTAAAGATTTCTATATCCCATCTTGTAATTTTGTGCCCCTTGTCTCACTTGCAACATTCCAAGTCCACCCAAATTCCTCCTGATCCAGGTTCACACAGTTCTTGAATGCTGTCACACTGCACTCATACCAGACAGACCCTTGGCACAGGCATCTGCTGCTCTGGGGTGAGGCTTCTTCCTGCCTTTCATGAGGTCTTGTACCCAGAGACTGTTACTCCCACCTTGATATCCCTGTCCCTTAACTCATGAGCACTCTCACCTCTGCCCACTTCATGCAGCATGCCTGCCTCACAGCATATAAGAGGCTGCTGGTGGTCTGTGTTTAAGGACACAAAGAAAAGAAGCTTTTGCTTTGAAAAACAAACACAAACACCTAAGTTGTTTGCAAAGTTTTTGTGAAGTGTTTACTTTCTATGAATGTCACAAGACCTTCTGTGATTGCAGAGAGCTCTTTGAAGACATGACCTGCAAAGCTTCAAACAAAAAGGCAGATTTGTACACTTCAATTTCATAGCAATTTACTGTCTAAGACAAGATCACTTGAAGTAATTATGGAGTTGGCAAAACCACGTAGATCTCTTAGAAGAGTCCCAAAGCAGACGGAATAAGGTTAGGTTTTGTAGGAGAAATATGACAAGTCAGCTAAACTGCCTCAACCGGTATTTTTTGTTTGTTTTACAGAGCAGGAATTCTAAGTGTTCAAAGATGCAGACCATACTTTCCACATGCAATTCTAAGGGTGGTGTTTGCGGATTTTGTTGTTGTTATTTGCTTGCTCTTTTTAGGAAGAAAAATATTTAGTCTACATGGTGGCTTTCATTTCCAATTACTCCACAAAGCAAGGTACATATTGCAGGTTAAATTGTTCTGAGCAAGCAGGTCACACGTCAGACATAAAATCCATGTAATTACAGGAGATTGAAAGGGCCTCAGGTCCTGACTTTACAAAGGCTTACACAAGGCTACAAAGTTATGAATAATCTTAAGTATTCACCGGGTGTGAGCTTCTTTTATCTGAAATTGTCTATAGGTTATTATAGGTTTCTCACCATTTCTGTGGTGAAATAATTACAGAAATGAAGGTAAATGTCGTACAGAGTGAGCACAGCTAGCACCAGTGGTGCATCTAGCCTAGTATTTTGACTCCAATGACAGTAAAAGGATATACTATTTAGGAAGAGCTCTGCAGTGGGGTCACTTCGCAGTACTTCCCCTCCATCTCATTGTATTAGGGATGTCTGTTTCTTTCAGTGACAACTTACAGATATGTTTGCCATCATTATGAATAATGCCTTCTTCAGCTTGGGGACAGCAGACCACCTCTGGTAGCAGTATGTTCTAAAAGTTCACAAACTGCTTTGCAGAAAAGTGTTTCCTTTACACATCTCAAAAACAATCATCCACTGTTTTCACAGGATCATAGGATGGTCTGGGTTGGAAGGGACCTTAAAGATCATCTGGTGCCAATCCCCCTGCCACGCACAGGGACACCTTCCACTAGACCAGGTTGCTCCAAGCCCTGTCCAACCTGGTCTTGAACACTTGCCAGGGAGGGGTGTGCATTCACAGCTTCCCTGAGCAACCTGTTCCGGTGTCTTGGTTAGGCACTGGAAGGCTCCTCTAAGAGCCTTCCCTGGAGCTTTCTCTTCTCCAGGCTGAACAGCCCCAGCTCTCTCAGCCTGTTTCAGCGTGCTTTCCCTGTGTTGAACAGGTGCAGCTGCTACTGCTCTCACTGTAAGGCAGCAGCGCCATTCCTCCTCTGTGCCTCCCCTAAAAACTCCACATCCTTCTCGAGTTATGAAGACAAGAACTGATGCAGCAGTCATTCTGAGGCTGCAGTGCCAGCAACCCAACAGCAGCCCAACAACTACCTCTATCTCATTCTCAATATTCTTCTCAATAGCATATGTTTTGTGGGAGTTTTTTGATTGCCACTGCACAAGAAGTTGGTGAGATAATTTCAGACTTCCAAGATGTAACCACCACTGCTAAATTCAGTGAAAGGAAAGCTTAGAACTCCAACCGCTTCAAAGTGTGGGAGCACGCGGCAATATAAAGTTAGTTACTGAATGTACCATTGCCTCTGTGAAGATCACTCCAAAAGCACCAGCTTTTAGCTCCAGCCCAAAGAATTAGATCTCAAATGCATTTGTAGGTATCCTTAAAGAAAAGTAAATGTAAATACACCATTTTAACTGGAAATACATGACCTGCAGATTTGTACTCTGGCCTCAGAACCAGTGGGAATTGTCAGCTTTCCAAAAAGTAACTGTTTCTCACCTAATGAATCCTGGAATAGTTTAATATTAGAGAAAAAGAATGGCATTCCGTCTTTATGATTATCCCAAGCCTGGAGAATAAAATTAGATTACATAAAATATTGGGTAACATAAGACTCCGAGTAGAGCATTTATAAATATTATGAGCTTTTCCCCTGGCAATATTTCAGAAATAAGTGCTGTCTTCAGACAAAGTCTAGAAGATTTATTACAGAAGCTGAATGCACTTTCTGGTTTTGGTGGGTTTGGGTTTTTTTTCAGTTACTGAAGTAATTTATAACCATAATAACTGTTGGCTATTATGAAGCCTGCTTAAACTTGAGAGCCAAAATGATGACTTTGACACTAAAAGATTGCAGCCCAAGAAGTGTCCCCTTCATCCTGTGGAACTGCTCACACGAGAATCCTCTTGAAATGAAATACTCCACCCGGTGTTGTCCAGGTGAGCACCCCACACTCACCCTCCTGTGTCATCAGGATAATCAAGCATATAAACCAGAGTAGATTTTAGAAAAATCTGAATACAGCCGCTACTCATAGAACTGAAAATATTTTCGAAAAATTTCTAACCTCCCCTTACATTTTTACGTGTGCTGTATTTGGTGAACCAGGTAAAGATCAGGCAAAATAAATATATACTTACATACATATGCATGCCTCTTATGTTTCTTTCCATCATGTGGTCTACATGTGCCCACTTCCACGTTTTCCCTATACATAGCGCTTCGACACCATGAAGTCGCAGAGCCACGTTCCAGCGCTGCGCGTCCGCGCACGTCACGGCCAGCAGCCCACCCGCACGTCACCCACTCCGGTTCCCGTCACCACAGCGAAGGCGGGGCTGCGCTACAGTTCCTCCCTCTCTCTCTCTCTCTCCCGCGCTCGCCTTTCCTGCGGCGGCCCGCCAGAGGGCGTAGCGCGGCACGGAGGAGGTGCGGCGCAGTGCATGCCGGGAGCTGTCAGGGCGGCGTGGGGGTGCTGGTGGCGGTCGGGCTCTTCCGGCTCGGGTCGCTCAGGTAACGCCGGTCGGCCCGACACCCAGTCCTTTTCCTCCTCCTCCTCCTCCTTCCCCCGGTGCGGGTAGGCTGCGGGGCTGGGCCGTGGCCGCTCCCCTCCTCCCTCCCCGTCTCCGCGCCTGTGTTGGGGAGGGGTGCCGCAGCCAAAAGGGGTCCGCCCCTGG